GAAGAACGTGACAGAATGGCGTCGACTACTTCGACTGCGGCTGCTCTTACGATGACAACTTCAGCTGATACTTGGACATTCCTGGCCTGTGGTGATCACGGATGTCCACTGCGCAGGCTGTGATCTTACCACTGTGAGCCTCAGCAACGTACTGCACCGTCCGGACGACCTTCCAAACTGTCATAACAGCTTTGCTCGCCAATCTCGGAAGAACCACCGGAAAGTCTGATGCCAGATTGAATAGCCCCTGTAAATTCAGATATGCAGACCTCAGGCCAAGACAAGAGTCTGAAGCATCCATGACGCGCCGTGCATTTTTCAGAAGGATGGTTACGCTTTGCTGTTGGGGTCAATGCAGATCTTCTACGAGTACATAGGAGTACTCTGCCATGTCATGCTCGCATGGTTTTCTCACAGGCTCAAGGTAGCTTCTCGGCCAGCAACAAAACCTTACGCAGCCCCCGGCCATCCGCCTCGCAGTACAACTCATCCCCGTGGACCAGAGTCCATGCCTCACCGGCATGCCCAGCAGCCACCTGAGATGTTCGCTCAGGGTCGTCTGTTGCGTTACTGTTGCGTTCTTGCTCTGGCTGCGGCTGCTGCATTCTAGCAGTCCCGCTTCCATGCATCTGTGCTTGCCTACGATGCTGACTCAAAGTGCAGAACACCCAGCTGCGATCAAGTGGCAGAGGACATCACAGCGCCAATGGCACCCATACCAGAAGGCAGAATTAGGGCATGGTGCGTCCTGCCTGGGACTCACAGGAGTGCTTGCCTTGCTTGCTATCCAGCTAGGACCCAAAATAAAAGATATTCAAAACCCTAGCAGCCCTGGCAGCCCGGCATACACACGTGTATGTCCTTGTGCCCCAACCCTGCTTGGTGGAGAATATACTCCTTGAAAACGTGATGACGCCTGCGCAACCGACACGAACAAATACAGGAGACGCATTTCCAAGCACACGCATCTGAAGCCGCATGCTCCCTCTGCTCACAGCAATTGAACCTCCCAGGGAGACCACACTAGGATGCCGCACCTGCAACACCCGATGACTTGGTAGTTATGCTGCAAGATGCTATCCAGGCCATAAAGCCGCATCACCGCATTCTCCAAGTCCTGCTCTCTCTTTCTCTGTCCCGGTCCGTGTCTCGTGTCTGTGTCTGCGTGCGCTTTTTTTGATCATGATTCTGTACTTCAGGATAAAACGGGGGGACAGATTTTGTGTGCAAAAGCTTGCCTGCTTGGGACGGGGCAGTTCAGCGGTGAAAGCAGGGTGGAAAGCTTCTCCTTGAATGGGTTTAACACTGCAAATTCGGACAGGAGGCCTATTGCATGAAGCACAATGCTGCTAGTATTCCTATGGAGATCTGTCCGGCAGGCCCTCTGACCTGCAGGTTGCCAAGGAGCTTCTCTGCAAACATTTACGACTACATTGAGTTTGTGAGCAATGCTTGCTGGGGTCTGTAGCCTGCTCCATATTCGGAAGTCTCTGATACAACATGCAACACTGCTGCAACTATGCCCCGAAGTGCTGCCAGAAGCAATGCGTTAGTAAGGTTCACTTCCAACAGTGCGTGTACAGCAGCTGCGCGTCGGTGCAACATGCCTCTTCGGAAGATAAGACTATTCTATTTTCTGTATTGTGGCAATTCGAGGTGCTTGACGGAACCAAGCCGGATGGTTTTCGCTTTGGTTTGTAACCTCCACTTTCCCACCAACCATCGCAGGAGTGCTTGATGACTATGCGTGCAACCTTTGAAAAACGAGTGCCAAGCTTTGTACAGCATAGCCTGAACGAAGACTGTTGCCCCTGCAAATCGTAGCCGTCTATCCCTAGGCGGGCTAGTTTTATATGTCTTCTGCAGTCATGCTGTGCTGTATCACACGCAGGTTTCCTTGATCTGCACACGGGAGTGCTCTGTTTCAACCGCTCCAGGAACTCGGGGAGCTCTACCACCTACTTGACGTCCCCTCATTGCACTGGTCCTCTCGACTTTTGCTCCAGGTCCGACTGTACATTGCCCACCGCTGAGAGCGTGCTCGTGGCTGGCTGAACACCAGGTGCTCCTTCTCTCCAGAACCATGCTGAAGCCGCAAGAAATGAGAAGACTCAGCTTAATTGCTACAACCTTTGATGCGCTTTACACATCACTACAATCCCTTGGACCACTCGTTATTGGGAATCGGGATCCTCCTCCATTGCGGCCTCATGGCCTAAGCCATAGCCTTTAGGAGCCATGGCGGCAATATGCGGCAGCGGAGCTGTTTTGCCTCCCTACTTGTCGTGCAGCTTGAGGCGCTAGTTGCAGGCTGGACGTTGACCAATGAGACAATCCAGTCTTGGTAACCGCTGCAACAGGAAACCGCGTAACTATCCATCACGATCTGCCTATTTGAAAGTATCCAAATATACATTTTCTATGTTATATGAGACTGCAGTACTTGATATGTGTACATATCTATATACATATATATGTATATATATATGTATATGTATATATATATATATCTATCTATATATATATATATATATATGGAGACTGGTATTACATTGGATGATGCTATTGTATTCTGTATGAGTGGCACCGATGCTAGAGAAGAACGCCGCCACCACACACCACCACAGCGATTGCTTCAGCGAAGCTGTCGAGCCCCGTGCGCCACCAGTCCAGGAAGTCCCGACGATGAAGTCCTTGTCCTTGATGGGGGGGTTTAGGGTGACAGGTGGCGGGCAGCCGTCCATATAAAAAGTGTGGGAAGAAAGGGCAACGCAGTTCAACACAAGCAGCGCTGTGTCCGACGACAAGGATGCTCAGCTTTCCAGCAGTATCAACACTACATGATTGCACAGGACCCAAAGCAAAAATGCTCCGTGCCCCCGTTTTCGCACGCGTTGGTGGTAGAGTAAGGAAAACGTAGCATCAGATACAATGCACCAGGCATCTGTCAATGTACGAGGACATGTTGCGCTCAAACGGATTTTGTGCAAGTGATGCCTGGGTTTCAGGTCTCATGTGCGTGTCTAGGTGCTCTGAGATCTGCGGCTGGGTTTGAAGTTTCCTCTCGGACGACCAGCGGCTTCCTGTACGTGACAACCTCGCCCCCCCCACCCGCCCAAGAACCAACCCGAACAGTCGGCCAAAAGCTCAGACCCGCCCACGACCCGCCTGAGCCCACGCAGGCCAAGCCACACAGCATAACTGCACGGCGCGGTTGCCCAGTGCACATTTGCGCAGTCAACCCCAAGCAACCCTGATACCGAACTGCTTCACTACTTCGCGTCTGTTTCAACACCAACAGCGCGCCTGAAATCGAGCCAACCAAACATCATCGGCGCCGCCGATGGTCCAGAAGAGCGCCTATGGAAGCAATTTCAGAGGCTACAGACACCTAGCTGTGCCCTGAAAGACTCGTTCGTGAAGATTGTTTGCTACGTTTAATATGCAGAGGCCCTCCACCACAGGTGGCATCTGTCCATGCGACACCTCAGAGTTCTGCAGCTCAGGGGCCCCTAAGGTCCACGGCATGCCCAGCCCGAGGAAGACGTTGACGGAGTTACTTCCTGGCCAGTTGTCTTGGAAAACGTGCGACACCGCGACACCCGTTGGAGCCTCTGCAGAAGGGACCTTTGGGCTTATTTGGGCATGACAATCTCTCCAGCAAAGGAGCCGAAAGACCTGTTGGGATAGTGTAGTGAGAACAACATATGCTGTTTCGTGATCTCAACTATCTTTCTTACCAAACGTATCCTGGGTGAGTGGGATACTCCTAAATAACTTTACTCAAGGTGAAGATGGCTCCTTGTGAAAACTTCCAGGCGAGGCCCCATAGGCCCTAAACCTGTGCAGGCCTGTCACGTTGCCCACGGACGCATCGGCTGTCGGATCCTCCGGGACGCACCAGTGACGAGCGTTGGGGCTGGGGGTACAGGGGTTTGGAGCGTTGTTAGATTCAGGCCCCGATGCCTTTAGCAAAAATGCGGGAAGCGGGGGAAAGTGCCGGAGATCAGACACTCTCAGCAGACCGAGGCAATTGGTGGAGATCCTGCAGGGCAAACTGGTGCGAAGAACATGTTGGCTCCACAAACTATACGCACCCAAGCCCAAGACACCCTATACACCCTAAAGCCTACAAACCCTCAACAAGAAACCCCCAAGGCCCCTCCAGCCTGGACAGCGGCTTGCCGGCTGGCGAACGTGTCTGGTAGAGAAGTGCCGAGGGCCACCTGAAACACACCCGTGCTCGGATCTCGGAGCCTTCACCTACCCTGTAAAGAGATGAGATAGAGATTGGAACTTGGTTGTTGTGGTTGTGGAGTGATGAGGCAGTTTCCAAAACATGACATGGCAGTTCATGGCAGTTCAGAGTCTCTACAGTTCTTGGGTTTAGGGTTTAGTTTAGGTTTTAGGGTTTAGGGATAGTCAAGTTGATGATCGGGCTTCGCAGTCCTCATGACAGCCCCCTTCTGCACTGAACCCTTTCTCCAAAGCCGTTACGATCTTGGAGATTGAGCCCTAAACTTACACCTACGAAGTGGGGCTGTCGAAGATACCCCCCCGCCCCCCCGAGCCCTCAACCCTCAACCCCCCTGACCCCCACGAAGCTCGCTACCCATCCAGGCCGAGAGACCAGAGTGATTGCGGTGATGGCGCTGCCGATGCCGAGGACACACCTTGCAGGCTGCAGCTTCTTTCGAGGCCTGATGACACTCCCTCTAACTCTGCAGCTCCCTCTCACGTGGAAGTTTTTGCATGATCGTGCCGCTGAAGCAACACGACCATCGACGGCGGGTGGCTGGCTAGTGAAATGTGGTGAATCTCGTCAATCGCAACTCAACCGACACGTCTCATTGGGTGCTGAGAAAATGAAGGTGCTGCCTGGAGGTAGCCTCTAGCAAAGTTCAAGAGGCCTTGGGATGTAGTGGGTTTTGAGATCATCTCACTGTCGGGATTAGCAATGCTACAGTCATCCTCACCGTCTCAGAAAATGAACCTCATTCTCAGAAGGACCCCGAAGCCCTGACCAGTTCGCTGGAATCTGAGCATCCGCACCCCAGGAGCGCTGCCAGATCTCCCACTACAGCTGTCAGTAGTCCTTGGAGTTTCTTCTTTGGGCTTTTGGGGCCTGGTGGGGGCTTGTCGGGGCTTTTTTTGCTTTGCCTGCTTTTGCAAGAGCAAGCCTAGCACAGACATGCAGGCATCAGAAGCCCGACTATTGGGCCTCAGCAGGTCGAGAAGTTATGCCAGGGACCAGAAACAGAACTCCTCAAAACCCCTCGCTAAGGTGAGCCACCAGGGCTACGCCTGCTAAGGCCGGCACCTATGCCACCAAGCGAGCAGAAAAAACAGAGCCACCCATCGCAGAATCCAGGAGGCGGTATCACCCTCAGGGGTCCAGCTGGGGCATCGCATGTGGATTTCATATGTGCTTGTGTGTGTTTCATATCCTATCTGTGCTCTTTCATCTTCTTTCTACTTCTCTTCTGTCTTCTCTCCCTTCTGAAGGGGAGCACGTGCATTTCTCTGAGAGCGGCACGCGAAGAAGATCTTCCATGGGACCACTAGCACCTGCAGCGATAACATCCCAACACCAAGCTTGATGTCCTTGCCTATTGGACATGTCCTACATACTTGCTGTTGCAATCGCCATGCCACAGGATCTAAAGCCCCGAAATTTGCTTTAAATAAATTCACGGACATCGGGGGCCCCACAGCAGTCATCGCCATGCCGATGTACTGCAGACAGCCCCTCCTGTGTGTGGTTTGGCTTCATGTGCAGCGTGAGAATCAGTGTGGCTGCTCCGGCAAGTGCTTCTGCCTGTCACCCTGAACGGACAACTTGAGAGCAGCTTCTGATCTTCCACAAGGGAAGGGATTCAAGCGACAACAGCAGGAACCTATAAGTACAAGTGCACCAACAGCAACATTTCATTTCATTTCGGACGCATGTGCGGGTTATGTCCCACACCTTGGCACCTATGCGTCTGGGACCTGTCTAGTCCGATGCTTGGCTACGTGAGTTCCAGGTTGCGCGTCTCTGCAAGCTTCTACGAGGTCGGTGTTCGGCCTCAGCAGGCTGACTGTCAGGCAGGCAATGTCACAGAGTTCTGCACGTGATGGGCTATGCTGCAGTCGAAGACAGAGGACTTTTCCACTGCTTCAGTCGTTGAGATCAAGAGGTCAAGAGGCAGGTTTTGTCCTTTGTTGGACGAGAACTTTGCTAAAGCTGATGCTCTGCGTTGCAGGAGGAGACCTCTCTCGCAAAATCATCAGGCTGGGGTGCGAAAAGGCGAAGCATGGATGGTGACCAGGAGGAGACCTTACTAGGTTGGTGAAATTGGCGCTGTAGCCGAGAGGCCCGCTGCCGTAAGTATAGCACGTCTGAACACATAGCGCTGAGTGATGCTGCGCAGTGTCACGTGAAGAAATGCTACCTGCCCACCTTTCAGGAGGAGACCTCACTCGAATGGTGAATCTTGAACATCAGTTCAGTCGATGGAGGAGTAGGAGATAAGCTCCGGACTCCATCTGTGCTCGTTCATGACTTGTGGGAGAGAAGCCCGGGCTGGAATCATCCCCTACCTTCAGAGACGGAAGCAAGGTGAAGGATCTGTAATGACCCGAGGTGGCTTCCTGTCCGATATGGAAGAGTCCCGAAACAGATTTATAGCGAACAAAAGATGGAGAGTCAGGCCGAGTCCAGACTGGCAGCTGTATTTCGTCCTGCAAGCCAGTAAGCCTCCAGTGTTGCTTCTCTCCGGCATTCGTGAACCTTGGCAGAGACACAAAAATATATGGAGGTGTGTACAGCAGCGCTGCCGTGGAGTCATGAGGGGAATGCCACTCGTGTACAAAGAAGGACAACGAATAGGTTGAGACAGGCGCTGCCAGGGGGTCAGGCTGTGACAGCCTGGTCGGGTCAGTGCCTTCCGGGAAGGTTAGTATAAGAGGGGAGAAGCCCGTTGAGTCGGGTATGTCAGCATCGTAGACCCTTTTCCAGGGAGTACTTTGTAAGGAACCATGGTGATTAGCCAGCAGAAACGTCAAGTACTCTAGCGCATCACTTTGTCGGTTGGCAAGCCTCCAGTCAGGGTGACAATGTGGCAGCGATTCAAGTGCAAGAACGGAGATCGGGCGCGATGCCCTTTCTCGAAGTTCTCTCTGGAGTGGTTGAAGGTTCGACCAGTCCACTGAGGCGTCTTCCCTCAGAGCGCTTATCATTTGCAAGACTGAAATGGCGTAGCACAAGTTGTGCGGATTAATCAACTGCGGCATAGGCAGAGCTACAGGAGGCAGTGGTGGATGGGAGTCATCCACTTCTGTCGCAGGTGGCTGGGCAGGTCCTGCGCTCGGCTGTGCAACCTGAGAGGCACTCCCTGGACGAAACCATCGCTGAAGCTGGCTTTGCTTTGGCTGGAGAGTTTTATTAGAAGCCTGCAGGGTCTGCTGTTGGGATGCCTTAGGCAGGGGGGTGACCTGCGTCGGGGATTCTAATTGCGTAGAGAGGGCCGTGTGCAGCCGTGGGGTGGCGACCGCAGAAAGAGATGCGCCAGTCCCAGTATTATTCGGTGAAAGGTGTGAAATCTGAGTTTGTGGGAGAGATGAATGAGATCTGGAGAGAGGGGCCTCAGGGTGCAGAAAGAAGAAGAGCTGCAATTGCTGAATGACTGGGCACTGCTTTGTATGTCTGGGAACGCTCTCCACTTTCACGCCGCAGGCAGGGCAGGGGGACAAGCGGGTTAGCACGTACATCTTAGAAGTGTTATTCCCCGCAGAAGCTTTGTAAGAAGCCCATTCTGCTCCGTGTTTTTTGGTGAGGTGGAAGGCTATTTTTGTCGTGGAGGCTATCCATGAGTCGCAGAGAAGGCAGGTTCTGGTAAGCTGCCGGCCGAGGTTGCCAGTGATGAGCTCAAGGAAGGTCTGTCCTCCGGCCTGCTGCAGCAATTCAGTGCACATGCGCGAGATGAGCGGCGCTGTGTCTATCTGCAAGGTAAGCTGGACCGAGGGTGCAGCAGCAGCCTGCCGGTCTGATGAAGGCTCAATCTCCTGGCTGGAGGAAACCTCACTCGCCTTGGGATGAACCACGTCAGCCAGGGTGGCTGCTGCAGGTCTAGAAAGCTTAAAGCCGTCCTGTCTGCAGACTCTGCGCTCAACGTGTTGCTGTAGATTATGCCAGTTTTTGAACTTCGTCTGGCAGTTAGAGCATTGAGGCATGCCTCCCACGGAATGCTTTAGGCGTGAGAATTCAAGAGGTGGCAGGGCAGGAGCCGGGTGCTTGACTGTCCGGTGTGTTCTCAAACCCGCCGCAGTGCGAAAGACCTTTCCGCAACAGGCATGCGTGGGTACGTCCGGAGAGGGGTCGTTGTCGACCTCCGTGAGCAGCTTGCGATAAGAGGCTACAATCTCCTCCGCCGTTTGCAGGGTGGAGGGAATGGTTAGGATATCCTCGTTAGGCCAGGCACCGGGCTGAGTGAAGGGCAAAGAACACGTGTTGGCCGACGTGGATGTTGAGCAGGAGGTGACCTCACTCGCTGGAGCTGCATGCCGGCGCTTGCGAAGGGAGTCTAGGCGCTGAGCTGAGCGATCATGAAGCTGCTGAATAGGAGGAACTAGTTTAAGACGTGTGAAGAACGCTGCAGTAGTTTCTCGAGTCTTATGCACAGGGTTGTGTGTTACCGCTCTCACCTGTCTGGCATGCCATGAGCGAAGAGCCCGCGCCCGCCTTCCTGAAAGGCCAACAGATTCCAGGCCAAAGGTGGCCGTGGACCAGACGGTGGCCCTCCAGACAAGCAGCCTGGATGCAGTTTTTGTCTTGCGCTTATTGTGAATGAATTTGCGCACTGTCTGCTTTTTCTTCGCCGCTCTCTCTTGTCTTAAGGAGAAAGTGAGATCCTCCGGGTTTGAGTAGCTGACCATTACCCCAAGATACTTAAAGGAGTCTACCAGCTCGAAGGAAGGAAGGGAGGGAAGTGGGGGAAGAACAGAGGAGTTTGAGAGCAGAACTGGCCGCCTAGGCTGTTTTGGGGCATCTATGTTCCAGACCGTAACTTTCCGGCCCGAGCGCAGCTCCTGTGACTTGAAGAGCTTCTTGGCCTGCTGTGCATGGCGACCGGCCAATTTGACCATAATGTTGCACTTTGCATAGTTTACCTCTAGTCCGGCTTCTTGCAGATAGTGCAGTAAAAGTCTTACCATGTCATGAGCCGCGTAGAGGTCGGACCAGTTGTGGATGTCCCGGTGAATGACGAGATCATCCGCAAACCCTGTGAGGAACTGCTGTATGGGAGGGAACCCTATGTGGGTTGCCATAAGCCGGAACGCCTCCGTTATGACCAGGGAGAAAAGCGAGGGGGCCAGTTTGCAGCCCTGCTTGATACCTCTGGTTGAGGTGACTGAGTCCTGGCTTCTGCCATACCGCAAATTATACTGGGCTTCCCTATGAAGCGATGCCACTAGCTCAACGTCCTCTGGTGAGGCTCCGTAGGTTGTTAGTGAGCGCAAGAGAGCTTCTCTGCTAGTTTTGTCAAAAGCTTGAGAAAGGTCTGGTGAGAAGGTGAAGCCTCCTATCAGATCTGGCCTTCCCTTCCTACCCTTGGAAGTGCAGAACCTGTCTGGTGCTCGGGAGCGAAGCATGGCACGGACGCGCCTGGCATGACCAATTACCCGGAGCTGGGCGTCGGCTATCCCGCGTCCTGGAATATAGGCAAATTGAGGGGAGGCAAAGTGAGCCTTCTTAAAGAGGGGGTCTAGCCGTCTCCTAGCCTCAGAGGCTATGCCTTTTCCGTCTGGCCTGATGATGCCTAGCGGTCGTAAGTTTTCCGGTTTAGAGGCAGGCTTAGAGGGCTTTGGTATGAAGCTAAGGTCTGCTGATTTGGCCGTAGTAGGCAGCGAGGGCGGCTCGGCCAGATGTTGTGGTGTTGTGCTATGCTGAGGCTCGCTCTTCCCTTGGCAGGAGGTGACCTCGCACGCTGGAGGAATCAGAGCGGGAGGCGGAGGCACTGCTTCCAGATAGTCGCAGTAGTTATTTGCCACAGTTGAAGCACAAAAGCGATACATTGATGCTGGGGCAGAGCCTTGCGGTACTGCCTTTTCCGGCTTTATAGAGGCTATGCCTTTTGACAGACTGCTTCTGTCCAGCCTAAGTAAGGCTTGGCCTACGCCGCTGGCTAGGGGGGGATGTGAGGAAAAGATGGAAAGACTATGTCTCTTTAGCTCTGCCAGCCCCTCCGACTCAGTTAGGATACGGCCACATGGCGATCTGAGGCAGACTCTAGGTGCAGGAGACCAAGGAGCTACATGCTTTAAGGAGCGATATGCCGCATGTGGATCTCTTTTGACTTTCTCAGAAATCTCTGTTAGAGTGCGGTGAGTCCTTTCTCGGGCCTGGTTCTTGATCTGGTTGGCATGTGCCTTGGTTGCCTCATCTAGCGAGCGCTGAGCCTGTTTAAAGTGCTCGGTGCGAGCCATCTTATTTATGACGTCAGCCTCCCGTTTTAGGTTCCGTAGTGCAGTCTGTCGATAGTTATGAAGCCGCCATAGAGGTTGTGCTGTCGGGACTGCATCTGTACGGCTTACTTCTGGGTCCCTCGGCTGGAAGGTTTTGGCGTGTTCGAGAAGAAGCTCGTTGACCTCATCAGGGTGAAGAGGCTCTCCATTTTTCTGCGCTCGGAGTTTGTCGACTTCCTGTGCAACTTGGTCCCGCAGGGTTTGAGCCAGAGGAGTGTTTTGTCTAACATGTTGGGCCAGTAAAGACTTTTGTTTGGAAGGGACTGCTGGCTGAGTTGTGGTCGAGAACGGGTGTCTCCAGACCTTCTTCAGAGGTATTGCCGTCCGAAGAGGCGTGTGTTTGCCTCCTTTCCGCCATGCTCCCAGCTTGAAGTCCTTGAGGACACACACTTTTCGGGCTAGCTGAGCAGCATAAAATTTGGTAGTTAAGATGAAATCAATCTGAGAGCTGCCCTGTGGCGAGGTGAAGGTGTTTGCCTTGCGCCCCTGCCATGTGTTAAGCGCAACTAGGGAGTTTCGCTGGAGAAACTTCTGGAACTGCTTCTGAACCGGTTTCTGCTTAGAAGATCCTGCTGGCACCACTCCCCCTACGAAGGGGGGATTTGGTTTTAGGGAAGAGTTGAAGTCCCCCAGTGCGCTGTGACGAGTTAGAAGGGGACTTGCTTGAACTTTGCTCTGGGTGGCATAGTGGTCTTGCTCCGTCATGCCTCGCTGCTTGGTGTACTGATAGCAGTTTAGCAGGAGCACTGGCTGGCCTCGGACTTCGCAGTGAACCTCTTGAGCGCGGCCTGGGTGTAGATCCTGCCAGCGCAGTGTTGCAGAGTCTATGCTTGGCGATAGTAGAGTGAGAACACCTGCCGAGCGCCTGTGCTTTGGCTGTTCGGGCAACTGGGATGTTTGAGCGGGAGGGGACCTCACGAGCTCTTCATCCGGCAGCCCACCTGAAACGGCTGTCCAGCCATGCACTTTAAATTGGGAGGAGGTGGTCCAGTGGGTTTCCTGGATAAAGATAACATCTAGGTCCTGCTGATGTTGCAGCCACTCTTTGAACTCTGCCCACAATTGTTGGCTTAGTCCACCTGCGTTCCACGAGAAAACTCGCAGTGGTTTGGCTTCACGACCGCCTCTAGGGTGACGCCTTCGCGGCTGCCTAAGAGGGAGCTGCGGTGCAAATTGAGCATGCATTTTTTCTTGTGTCTCATGGATTACACTGGGTGCAGCTATGCCTGCGCTTGCCTGTGCCTGGCTTAGAGGCAAATTGATCTCGCGATATGGTACTGCGCAACCGTCCCTTAAGGCTCGGTGACAGGCCCGACGATAGGAATGTTTACGAATTATACCCTCTGCCATCCGCTTGTTTTGCCTGAAGTGCCGAGGCACGATCAGACTCCCCTCGTCCTGCGGAAAGACGAGAACCCTCACACTTAGGAGTGATGGATGCAGTCTAAGACGATCCTATTTCTCCCCCCGGAATTGGGACCGGGCCAGCTCGTGGTTATGCTGTCTGCAGCGGAATCTCAAATGCTAGAGGCTAATGCCTCAAAGTGACCATCAGCTGGCAAGAGCTAGAAAGCCTTGAGATGTTAGAGGGCCCCGAAAACTGTTAATGAGATGAAGTTCGGGGCCTTGGCCGGTTCGACAGCTACCATGCGCGGGCGGCTTGAGCTGGTAGTGCTTACACCAACAGCAACAACAGCAACAGCAGCGACAGCAGCAACAGCAGCACCAACAGCAACAGCAACACAACAGCCACAGCAACGACACAGCAACAACACAGCAACAACACAGCAACAGCACAGCAACAGCACAGCAACAACACAGCAACAACACAGCAACAACACAGCAACAAAACAGCAACAGCACAGCAACAACACAGCAACAGCAAAGCAACAAGACACAGCAACAACACAGCAACATCACAGCAAAACAGCAGAGCAACAGCAGAGCAACAGCAGAGCAACAGCAGAGCAACAGCAGAGCAACAGCAGAGCAACAGCAGAGCAACAGCAGAGCAACAGCAACAGCAACAGCAGAGCAACAGCAACAGCAACAGCAACAGCACCAGCAACAGCACCAGCAACAGCAACAACCACCACCGCCACCACCACAACAATGACAATCACAACCACAACCTCCACAACCACCACAACCACAACCACAACCACAACTACTAACAATAACAAGAACACTACCGCTACTGCTACTGCTACTGCCACTGCTACTGCTACTGCTACTGCTACTGCTACTGCTACTACTACTACTACTACTACTACTACTACTACTACTACTACTACTACTACTACTAGTACTACTACTACTACTACTACTACTACTACTACTACTACTACTACTACTACTACTACTACTACTACTACTACTAGTACTGCTAGTACTACTAGTACTACTCCTACTCCTACTCCTCCTACTACTGCTACTGCTACTGCTACTGCTACTGCTAATGCTAATGCTAATGCTACTGCTACTGCTCCTCCTCCTACTACTACTACTAATATTACTACTACTACTACTACTACTACTACTACTACTACTACTACTACTACTACTACTACTACTACTACTAGACATGAAAAAAGAAGCAACACACGAGAACAAACAACAAACGTACCACACAAGACCAAACAACACACAAAAAGCTAACAATGCACCCATCATCACCACCAACTACAAGACTAGGACTAGCGTTGGCACTACGTAATCCGCTAGCACGAACAGGTAACACCATGGAACACCGTCAAGGACCCCAACCGCCCACCACCAACCACAACCACAAGAAGTCATGTCGGAACTGGCCTTGTGTTATCTGATCTACAACAAAAACTTCACAACGTCCGACGCATGCTTGATTGAAAACATGAAACATGGATGGATGCATGCGGCAAGAGCCAGCAGAGTCCTTCTCCCTCGGGAGGCACCCTCTTCCTGGCCCTCCTCCTCCTCCTCATCCTCGTCATCGTCCTGTCCACTGTGTGGAGACATGTGGATAATATGAGCATTGAAGTCAAGGGTCAATTAATGTGATGCCTGTTTGTTGTGGATTCTTCAGATTGTCCGCGCTGCATCTGTGTTCGCTTCGGCATGGTTTAGAGTTCAGACTTCGGAAGATTGATATTGCGTCGCTTCTGATTTTGGCAAGCCTAAAAGCCCCCCCTGTTTTTTCATATTTTTGACTATGTTTACATAATTCATTACTTTTATTTACATTTACTTGATGTCTTTCTTATTTTTAAAGTTGATTCGAACTCAGTTTGATTGATTTTTAGTTTTAATTTACTGTACGCTATTTTCATGGATTTTAGTGAATTTTCGGTTAGTCAATTCTGTTTCACCAATTCAATTTTGTTTTCATTAGGTTTAAATAACTTGCATCAACTTGGACAATGTTTAACTATGCTTCGTAAAAATGATATTAATTGATTTTACAAATCAATTTATTTACAACAATAGTTTTACTTAAATGGCTTTATTTCATTAACTTTCAGAAGCTTCAAGTAATTCTCGTTAAGTTTAGTTGTGTTTTTGATTGGGCTTATTTTAGCAATTCCGATTAACTTAAAAACATGTAGTTCATTGAAAAAATTTTGATTAATTTCAAGGAATTGTCATTCAATTTATTTCGTTTTTGATGAATTCCGATGAGTTCATGTCTTGTGAATAATTTCATGACTAACTTTTCGTTAATATAAATGAACTTCGACAACTTCTACTTGATTTTACACCATTTGTAACAATTGTCGTTCATGCTAATTCTGCTTCATTTTGAAAAAAAGACTGTCATTCAGTTCAAATCATTTTATTCACTTCGATTTCTTAGATAACTTTCAATGAATGTCAATTATTCTAGTCATGTTCAGTTCTGTTAAACAAAGACTTTTCAATAATCCACTTTGAATTTAAGCAATCTGTACTAAATCAAAACATTTCATAAAGTTTATTCGTCGTTGTATTTGAATCATCATGTTTCAAGAGCTCATGGCAGAATGGCGGGCTGTCTGGCCTACCATTGTACATGTGCAGTCCATAGCAGCGGGGGGTGGAGGGCGAAGTACTCCACATGCCGGGATGTGCGCGCCGATGCCGTGCCAAGTGGACTCGCTTCGTTTCAGACGCATAAAGACGTGCGAAAATCCAACGAGGATTCAGAACATGCCAGGCAAGGGTACCGAGTATCATTGCAACTGCATGACATCTCTTGCCCGCTGGTTCCGGTTCTGTTCTTGAGCATAAGATTCTCGCCCAGTCTCTCGCATGTCATGGAGGGGTGTTATGCCCTTCTGCGACTGCTGGTGCGCCACTGACACGGCTGGGTCCCCGCAAGAAATACTCCCACTCTAATCTAAAAAGTACTCCCCGCATGTTCTCCCGTCAGTAGCATGGAAGAAGTCGGGAAAAAAAGAGGGCAGCCCCGAGATGCCCCAGCAGGCCGTAAGCTTGACAGCATCGATGATCTGCTCTTTCCAGGCTGTCCAGTTCGACCTCGGACAAAACAGGAGAGTTGATGGAGCTCCCTTCGGCTTCCCGGAGGCGAAGTGTGCCGGGCCCCTTTTTGTGTCTTGCGTTCTCATGCCCGTGTCTGAAACCTAGGGGGGAATCTAGGGGGAAGAGATGCTGAGCGAGTGGCTTTGCGGTATGGGCCTTGGTCCAGTTCACCGCTAGGGCACTGTGAATTCGCTGGATCCGATCCTGGCACAGAGCAATGCGATTGGGGTTCCGCAGCTTGTCCTCCGCTCTGGGCACGTTGCATCCGAGATTGAGGAGATGTGATGTTCTTATACTATGCTTCAGAAGTCTGCCTTTGAACCCGCAAGAAATTTCGCAGCGTATGCCCTTCCATGAACCGGGACTGAGCTGATATGCAACAAATGAAATCGAAAGGGATGCTCTTCTGCAAAACTCTTCCTGCACGGCAGGGTCTGGCTGGATCACGACGGTGGCGATGCAAAGATCCCGTCCACCTGCATTGCTGGGTAGGCAGCCGAACATGCGAAACATGAGCCCTAGGCACGTCGAACCTTCCACAGCTCCCACAAGCAGGGCAGGGGGCAATAAGGCTATGCTCAAGCCTGGTATGTCGGGTACAACTATCCCTTGGTCAGTTCTTGTTTCCAATTGGTTCTGGCTGCTCTTTCGGGACAGAGTTGTGACATGTTTGCCATGATTTGAGGCGCCAGGGTGACGGTTTCTGTGTTGCCTTCGGTGGTCGCGTCAAACTTGGCTCCGCCAGTGATGTTGGAGAGCAGTATGCGGACAGTGCTGGACAACCTCAGCCACGACATCATGGAGAACTGAAGATGACCATTCCTAAACCCTAAACCTTAAACCCATCTAGGCTAGCGCTGCCAGTGTACTCTGCTCGGCAGCTCCTGAGCTTGGGGCTGGTAGCGACCAGCAGGTAAAACCGTCAGTGGAAGTTTTGCCACCATCTGACCATGCTCAAACCTCAGCAGAGCGAAACATCCAAGACAATTGGCTCACGCTCGGCAGAGCCAGCTTTCCGCAATCTCTCATCCTCTGCGTGACGATCTTTGCTTTGAACTAAACCGCCCACCTCTCCTCTGCACCCTCAACCCTTCAAAGACGCAAAGGCGTCTCAGGAACCCGGCTCCAAGACGCCGCTACCAGCTGTGTAGTGCGTTCCAGCCTCTCGCATGTTACGGGAAGTCCAGTGGAGCTGCTCTGACATAGAATCCCTTTTGGATTGGGGCTCCAGGAAACACAGACATCGCTTCTGATGATGCACTAGGGGGCCGCTATCAAGAGTGAGGTCAGAGATTGGGAGTTTGCAAGGACGTTGTAGATGTTAGCAGCACCCTAGACAATAAACCCTCTCAGTTACTATATATATATATACATATATATATATATAGGCCCTAATCAGCTTCGTTGGGCCCTAAACCCTGACGCCGTTCGTGGGCATATTTTTTCCTGGGCCCTGGACTATAATCAGAAAAACGAGGCGGGCGTTTCTGCTATACAAATACTAGTTACAACTCAGCTGGAATCTGGATCCACCCACGAAGTGCGTCAGGGTTTAGGGCCCAGAAAAAAAACAATATGCCCACGAAGTGCATCAATCAGGGTTTAGGGCTAAACCCTGACGCACTTCGTGGGGATAGCCCTAGGGTTTGGGGCATAGGGTTTAGGGCTTTAGGGCTTGGGGCATAGGGTTTCGGGCCTGTGGGGTTTGGGGCATAAGGTTTAAGGCTTTAGGGTTTGGGGCGTAGGGTTTAGGGCCTATATAGATTTAACTTCTAATTAAAACATGGTTTAGGGCTTGGGTTTAGGGTCTATTGTGGGCCTTAGATTTCCGGTTTTGGGTCCACTGGACGAATGTATCGAATGAACTTTACATTTTCTTACTGTTATGGGATTCTTGGATGGGTGGGTATTTTTCCAACGCTTGACAGGCTGCCTGACTGGTGAATGCTTGGACTTGAGATGCTGAACCCTAAGCCCTAACTCTTCCGCCCAGCCTTGGCGGTGTTGTCCTCCGTGCGCCAGGCACAGGCCACCTTGCGAGTCCCCGAGAGCGCTGCCGCGGGGGGGAGGGGGGGGGGGTACCCGTCTTTTTTTTAGATTTTTTTTGGGGGGGGGTTCTTGTAGGGGTGCCCCTGTTTAGGACATGCTCGTCAGAGCAGAGCAGGGCTTCCGAAAGCCAGGAGAAATACTTTGAAACCTGGAAAAGAACTGCCCTACTATCCCGATGCTCACTGAATGGATGCACCACATTCAAAAAGACGATAAGCTCAGCAGCTGCACGGCACTCTCACGAGTCAGAGCTCAGTCAATCCAGGCATGCTATCTTGAGACGTTATTTCAGTCCTCAATGTGGCAGCTGCAATAAGCGGTGCACTACCCCGACACACCAAGCCCAAGCCCGGTATTGCTGGTGGAGGCATACTGTGGTGCAATTGCATGTGCCCTTGGCCGCCAAAGCCAGGCCTTTCCGGCAGCACCATGACGGCGCACGACGGTGACTTCCAAGAGTTTCTCCTTGCAGGCCAAAAACATGAGACTCGAAGTGCCAGTGGGGCCACGACTCAAGCAATGCATTGATGACGCAGCCAAGTCATTGCACGCCCTACCTACAAGCTCGGCCTGGAATTCCTCCACAGTGGTCACCTCCTCCTCTTGGAATCGGACCACGCCTGGGTCCTGCGAGATGGTCTGCTATAGCTCAGAGTCCTAAGCAGAGGGCCTTTTTCACCACTGGTGAAGTGGACTACCCCACCCAGCCCACAGGCATGCCGTGGCAGTTGTACAAATAAATCAGCTTGAAAACCTTCGGAATCAGTTCAACAGTCTTGTGATGTACGTTAGCACTGCTTGCACCGTGCCCTTGTTCAGTTTCCCTCCTTTGGCGAAGCACAAAAAATTGCCAGAATGGTTGGGAACGGTTGGGAACCAAGCCCAATCTCTGCACACCGAGCAAACTAACTCGCTTCAACAATCTCTTAGCGCCCTGCCAGACCTGGCTGCATGGGAAATCAGCAGAATCGAGGTCCTCATTGCTAAGGATGACCAACATCGCTGCGGCCAGCGTTGCGTTGTTCCTCACGTCGATGAGGTCAAAGTAAAACTCCTGGAGGCAGCATTCTCAAAATGAGAGAGACCATGCGATTTAGGTCCCTCGATTATGAAGCTGACAATGATTTTGCGGGACGCGAACTGAGTACAGTTCCCTGCGCGTCTTGACCGCCCGCAGGAAGGGGGGGAGCTTGTTCGGCATGCCCATACAAGAACGCCTCACCTGCTGGACCTCTACTGCAGCATATGCGCCACCTTCTGTCTCAGCTGCGCTGCACACGATGCCGGTAAAGCGGCTCTCAGTGCTTAACCGCTAAATGAGCGGGGGGCCTGCGCTGACGCTATTCCATACTGTTGCCGACAGGAACGCTGCCCCTTCGGCATATTATGCAACATTCATTTCAGGTTGTGTTCACCTCACACCTGATATCCGGGGAGGCGGTCCATGGGAAGCTCATGCCAAGAGGGACAACTTCAACGAGGTCGTTTGAACTTGCAGGATCCACAAAGTTTTGAAATTCAAAGGGCACCGGGCTGCTTGGCTCCAACCAGTGGTTGCCTCGAATCCCCCTGGCCTCACTAGAGGCAAGCAGTTTTGAGTTGATGGAAGGAATTTTGTCTGGGACCCTGGTGCTTGACTTGAGCCTCTAATGCGAGGCCTCTTGGATCCTGAACAACGGAACTTTTCCTTCCAGGGCCCTTTTCAGGGCCGAGCCTCCCAACAGCCCCTCAAGGGCCTTCGAAACGAGTTCGAACCTTGCTGAGAGGATTCCACGAGGATCCGAGCCTCCCAGGATGAGTTTAGAAGTTACCTCGCAGCCACCTCAAATTTCCAGCGTAATTTCGCGAACGTACCTCGCATTTTCCCCTTGGACTCGCGTGAGCTCGCCCCTCCAATCCCACTTCCAATCCCTTCAACTCTTCCAACCCCTACTCCAATCTATCAATTGAAGAATAAAAACAAATTCAAGATTCAAGGTACGCATATTTAAACAAACTTCTATAACATGAATAATGGATCTCCTTGTCAAGTTTAGGTCCACTACACAGGTATGGTCACTCGCCGTACGAGTGCCTCAGCCCACTCGCAGTCACGGACAAATTTGCTCCTCGTTCGACTCGAACGCCACGCTGTTTGTGACCGTCACGCTTACAGCCTGGACCCAGGTTCCAACTATTTCCAACTTACCCAAGAGGGGCCTCAAGGGGTCTTATCTCCGGCAAAGGGGCCCTACGTTGAGTACACAAGATACAGCACCGCAGAAGCACGGCAGCATTCCGTGGGCCACTAATCCGTGTGGACTTGCGAGTACTGTTTCAAAGCAATGGTACGTTACTCTTCTGGTGTTTGGCACGACATGGCATCCACAAACCGAACCTTCTCCACCTCTCCCGGAGCGAAGGTCATGATGCCTTAGCCCGTGCGGTAGTGACTGATCGTGCAGTGCATGGACCGTAGTCTTGTGACATTTCGTGCTTGGATTTCGAGTCTTCGAGGCTTGAGCTACATGGGAAGGACCTCTATCTATCAATCTCCAGGAGTTCGTGGCACTTCATGGTTCATTCCAAGAAGAGTCCAAACCACGTTCTGACGCTGGGTACCTACATGAGTCCTGGCGACAAAGTCTGGCAGCAGTACAAGTTTACAATGGTCGTTCCGATTTCAGGTCTGCTTTCCCAACTTCCTCTCGCGGAGATTCACGGGGAGTCTCACGGAAGCCTTCCGACCTGATGGGCTTTGAGCACCGCGCCCTCAACATGGGTGAAGTCTTCATCCTTCTGTGCTCGGCCAGGACGCCTGTGGCGGACAGAGATCGGGGCTTGGAACCACTATGGCGAGCATAGCCATAAGGACAAGGACAAACCGGGCCAATGACAGCTGATTGCGTAAGTGTGACGCGTGACGATAGCTTCGACAATTCTACATCCGACGCTCAAACCGAACTGCCGAGTTTCATCACCATGGCAAGACTGCCCTTGAATGTGCCAGACTCTCTCCGCTTTGACCAACTCTGTTGGCAGCACTTAGGCAAGGGCGTTTGGTACTTCACAGAAGCTTCTGTGTTGACCTGGGAAATTCATGACTGCACATGGCAGTGCTTAAAAGTCCCGGCAAGAGCTGCTGGCACTACTGATCACTAGTGTGTGTGTGTGTGTGTGTGTGTGTCTGTGTTGACCTCAGAGACCGTGATTCTTCTTCCTTCGTGTCAACTTGCTGAGACACCAACCTGGCAGGCCTAACTACAGAGACAGCGTAAGACATTCGGCAGATGCATAACATGTAAGCAGCAAGGTGGGGCGTCAAGAGAATAATGAACAAGTCGCTACGTGGCGGGTGCAGATGTGCTGGGTCTTTCCTCACACCCTTCCGCTGCCCTTCCAACATCCCTCCGCTAGTTTGGAGGCCGCGACGTTGCCAGTCCGCTGCACTTTCACAGCGACGGTTCTCTGGCTGTCCACCTGCTTTACTTCAGAGCTTACACAGGGCTGTAGAGACGCACTTTGCTGGGATTGAGTCTTACCCGAATCTTCGTATCCAGGAATTAACCGAGGATGCCTTAAGGCACTACGAGTGGGCAGCAAACCAGCGAGAAGGTCACCATGAAGTTCGGCCGTCTCTAGACTGCAGCCATGGCCCTCACATCAAAAAAGCAGCATGCGAAAGGGGGCTTTGGGACATGGAGTTGGCCATGTTGGATGACAGAAAACATGCTGTATCATGCGTCGTACGGTGAACTTTCGTCGTAGTGCAGTGTGACCAAATGGCTTACAGCATAGATATGAAGCGCTTTGTGAAATTCACCACGCTGACTCGTCATTCTTCATGACTCTCGGAGATCTGAGTCCACGTTACGTAAATTCTGCAGATCGCAGAGATCTGGAAGTGCCCTCCACTTGCAAAACCCTGAGAGCAGACCTGAGGATGCTCAACATAAGACACCAGCACCGACACACCGCAGGGATTCATGGTTGTGTTGGACATCATTGTGCGGTTCATAGGCTGTCTACGATTGGCACGGCAGACTTTGCTTCCAAGCCGCAATGCCAATCTGGTCGTAGGCGAATCCGAAGCCTCAGTCGCTCTGACAAAACTTGCGCCACTTTCCAGAAAACATGACAAAGCGGAGGCTTTGCCAACGCGTGGCTTAACTTCTAGCTTGAGTTCCAGGCCCAAGAAGTGCAGCTTTTTCTTCAAGCCACGAGAACCCAAAAAGCACATGAACAGGCGCATAAGGGCCCGCAGGGCTTCTCGGCCTTGGGGATCTTTGACCTCTGAAACTTGAGACAAAGATCGCCCATAGCAGTAAAACACAATTTCGAGCAGTACCTGGTCTTCCCTACCACTTAGCGTCTTGCGGGGAGTATGCCTTTTTGGGGAAATTTATGACTTACGTGTGCATGTAACCCCTGAAGGAAGAGGATGCCTCGGGCCCTAAACCCTGCCTTAAGCCTTTGAACTTTGAAACCTTAAGCCTAAATCCCAAACCCGAGCCCTTCAGGACGTTAAGACTCCTCTCCCCCGTATCCCCACTGCGCCCCCGGGCCAACATGCTGCAATGCTGGAGCTGCTCCCTTGGGAGAAACAGAAGCTGAAACGGGGCTTCCGAAGGGGGGAGGCGGGGGACCCTCCCTACTCCCTAACATTAATGTTGGGAAATGCCCAAATATGCTCGGCTGCGCGAATGTCTTCCTGGTCTGCCTGATTCAGGAACAACAAAAAACAGCTTTCTTCACCTGGAAAATCCGCGCTGGCAGTTGATTGGCAGGGAAGCCATGCAGTATCCTTGATGTCGGTCGTTGCCTTAGCATGCCTTGGCCGAGGCTCTACAAGTCCCTACACGAAGCTTACATTGGGAGATTGCGCAAGCCGGAGGTCGGCAAAGCCTGTCTTGAGTGGCCCAGAAGCCCTCAACCCGCAAGCCGCATCAAAGCCGCTTGCGCTGAAGCCGAAACGCTGGAAACCATAGCCGGCTCCAGCCTGCCAAGTTCTATGCCCTCGCCTGAAGGCCCACCTCAGGCCCCTGCCTTTGGTGGAGTCACGCTGTCGCCTGCACCTGAACAAGCTTGAGTTAAATTACATGGAGCTCTGAACTCTCAGTATCGTCATTCCACGGTCACTCGACCATCCCACGCCCAACTCCGACTAAACCAGCACTGTAGGAGACTGTAGGAGACTTCCAAGTATAGACTTCGCATCTCAGGCAGAGTGATGTTGACCAAAGGATCCCTCCAATACTATAATCCGCAGAACAGGAAGCCCCAAAAGCGGCCCCAAATGATCGGAAACTCTGAACATGATCTAGCCGTGGCAGTTGACTTCCCGATGAAGCGGCCCTGCCTGCGATCTTGGCTGCAGAAGCCTGCGTCAAGGTGGCGTTTGTGCTGCGCTGTCTTCTCTTTCAGGCACACTGATGTGGTTACAGCATATAGTGACGATAGTGCTCAACAACCACATGCCTGCAGTTGGGAAGGTGCAGGCCTTGCTATTGCCATCCTCCACGTCTGCGGGCGCAACTTTGCGCAGGTTGGTGCCCTTAGGCGGCTGGCGTGAGCTGGCGACGAAGTCTACGAAAACTTGAAAGGCAACATGCTGCTCTTGTGCTCGATACAGATTAAACATTGAACTTAAACCCTGTGGCATTAAGAGCCACCGATTTACAAAGCCCAATCATCTTCGGTCCAACTACGTCATATCCACGGAGCCCTGACGTGATCTGGCGGACAACATATTGACACGTCTACGTTTGCTACACTCATGAGCAGTGTCTCGGGAAGGGTCGGGGCAGGGCCTGTTTAAGCACGCAAAATAAGTTTACCGAGTTGCTGCAGAGCGTGATTCATGCTTGGGCCCCAGCAGGATCTTTCACCCGGGGGGTTTCTGCTTTCTGCTCTGCCTCAGGACGTAGCTTGCGGACTCTGCGTTTAGGTTCCGCGAACGCAGGGCTTCCTGGAGACCCAGGGCTTGAGGGCAGTTCTAAGTCTGGGGAGGTCATGTGGAGTGCGCTTTGACCCATTTCGATGGCTGTGGCTGCTTATCTCTGGGTGCTTTCTGCACTGTCCCAGACTCCCAGACCCGCACATTCGTGATCTTGTTGCTTTCCTCTCTTCGTCTTACCCAGCAGTTGCCCTTGTCAAAGGCCCGGGAAGATTCCATCCCTTGTGCGCTTTCCGACTGGTACCCGTTCTGGGTACATGTCATTTTCGACGATCCGTTGAAACAACTCCAAAACAGCGTGATGCCTTGAAGCACGAAACGTACTCGGGCTAATGGGGTTCCTACCCCCCCGCTGATATCCTTACAAGTACCAGGGCTCTTCGCATGGTTTGAAAGGAACTCTGCTTTGCGATTCTGGGCTTGGAACATGATTTGGTGGTTCCGCTGCATTTTGTAGAGCAGGGCCCCTTCTTTAACTGCCGGCGCATTTTCAATGACCCAGATTCAACTGCCCTCCACCATCGAGCTCGGTATCTCGGCCATGCGTCCCAGCCGCAAGGCAAAGTCATCACTTGTCTTGATTCTTGGGCCACGAGGGTTTCCGTCAGGTGTCATATGACAAAACCGTGCGATGGCAAGTCACTACGGGACCTGCCTCGATCAGCTTGATGAGCTCCTCGTCTGTGAGGTGATGGCCGTGGACCTTCCATGACACATCTTGAGAAGGCAGGTTTCAAAACACCATTGGGGGGGGAAGGGGCGGGAAGGGGGAGGGAAGGGGGGGGGGGGGGAAAAAGGAAGAGGAAAGGACGGGGAAAGGAGGGGGGAAGGGGGGGAAGGGGGGGTAAGGGGAACTCCCAGACGGTGCAACATCATGGAAGCTGCATGCAAGTTCAGCACAGAGGATATACTGACCGAAGTTGGAGTCGATGGGCCTTTGTCCTCTGGCTTGGGCGAAACTCCAAAATTAGTTCGAGGCGTAAGAAGCGACAAGAAAGAAGACATTTGAGAAGAATGAAGGCCTCACGCACTGTACGCTACGTCCGCTACGTTACCTGCAACTTGTATTGCTGGCCATTTGAATGCACATGATGACGACCGAGGTGCTTTCCTTCGTGTTATTTCGGGGTTGTTCGCTTGGAGGGCTCTAGTCGAGTTTCAGTCTTGGCGACTCTACGTATGACGAAACCAAATATGCCAACTCTGGAGGAGCGAAGGTCGCGAAGGTCACGACGTATCGACTTATCAACTTGTTGCGCCTGCAGGAGATGGCTCTGGAGCTTGGCCAGGTCTTCTGCATTGAGCTCGGCACCTTGGGGAGGGGCAGCACAGTTTAGGCATACAAAATCTTGGGACTTCATAAAGAAAGCTCTGCTTATATGGGATCTATGGGATCTGGCGCCGAGCTTGCAGCGTTTTATGCTGCCCCGGGGGGCTCCGTGTCTCTGAGATTACGAGGACTTCTTCATCTTTGGGTGACAAGGGATGACACGATGTTCTGGGCAGGTTTTGACTTCGGCTTGCCCAGCACATCTCATGAGATATCAAAGGCCTCTTAGTGAAATGCTAAACCCGGGCGTGCTCCCAGCGCAGCCCCTCCCTCTTAGTGTGGGGCTAATGACTCTGGTCCGGTACTGCTGAGCCTGGGAGACAGCTTGAGGATGGCTGAGGGTTGTGGGTGGTTTTGGGATGTTGTGGTGTTTTTGTCTCATGGTCCGAGTGAGTTGAGTGCTTTGGCTGGGCTTAGGGGAGAAAATATTGGTCTAGCCAGGGAGGGGATCTGCAGATCAAGATGTAAAGTGCACATGGTCGGGGCAGGATGGCAGGCAGGACGAGGAAGGGTTCAGAGCGTGAAACCGGGTGGAGGGTCGAAATGGGGCAAGAGTACACGTATTTAAAACCAGCAAGAACGGCTGTATCGCTGGGCTGGCAGAGCTTTTTTGAACTCAGTGCATCTGTCTTTCGCTGAGTGCAACAGTACCGAGTACTCCTGTCAAGGCATGTATGTATGTTATGGAGATCAGGAGGCCCAGATGACCCCCAACAACCCATCTAATGCGTGCCATAGAAGCAGCTAAGCCTCTGAGCACTGCCCTTTGATGTCTGCAATGAGGAAGCTTGGGGGAGGCTCAAGCAGCCCGCACTTGGCACCCCGCCTCCTCATCCTCCTAGAAGTGCCAAAGATGATTGCAAGCAATCGGGAAACACCAACTTCTCAAAGGCCCAACCCTACCAGGCTGTGCACTGCATAAGGCACAAGGCGAAGCCCGAAAAGGAAACGTAAGCACCCACAGGCCTAGAAGCAGAAGTGAGAGGGATGTTCGCAACAAGTAGTGGTGTGCTTGCTGCAAAGGTCCAATGCTGTCCCGCGTAGAGTAGGGGTTGTAAGGACGCGTGTGATGTGCCTGCTGGGAATGCTGGCTGCCAGCCAAAGCTCCCCAGAAGCCTCCCTCGTGTTCCACTAAGATGCCCCTCCGGCCCTTGATTTTTCAATTTTTGGGGGGTGGAAGGGTGGTGGCCATCTATGGAAACCAGTCCTCATCGTCCGCAGATCGACAGCCAAAATAGCCGCGGTCCTCAGACTCAAGTGGCTGAGCAGATGTACTACATGATTGCAGAGGGTTAGGCCATTTGCTCTCCGTAATCCTCCGCAGCTGCAAGGCTCAAGACAAGTGCTCACACTCTGGGAATTTGGGAATTCTGAATGCAAAAAGGGGAAGGTCTGAGCTTCCAGCAGCCATGTAGGCAATCTGAGCAGGGACCAGGATGAACAGACTTGAGGATGCAACAAAAGTGTGCCATATTGGGAATCAGCCTTTTTCACACGCTCAGGCTGCGGTGGTGGTGTGCACTTCGTGCTTGGAATGGATCTCAGTAATGGCCATTCAGAGCACCAAACCTCAATTCGTTGGTTCGCCTGAGTTACAATCAAGCTTGCAGTTGCAATAACGAGCAATTCACCCCAAACGAACCCATACACAAATTTCGGGAGCTACGAGACAGGAATCCGGCAATATCTCGTGTAGCAATCACCCCTCACTGTAAACCCCTCTTGCAATCATTATCCCCTTAACCCCCCCCACCCCTCATGCAAAAATTTCCTGCCTTGGGGGTATGGCTGCTCATACCCCCCCTTTGCAAATTCCGCGGGGCAGTTTCGGTACCGGCTTCGCTCGCTCGCGGTCGTATCAAATTCCAGGGCCTGTTTTCGGTAACGGCTTCGCCCCGTCGCAATCATAGCAAATTCCAGGGACTGTTTTCGGTAACGGCTTCGCCCGCTCGCAGTCATAGCAAAATCCAGAGACTGCTTTCCGTAACGGCTTCGCCCGCTCGCAGTCATAGTCAATTCCAGGGACTGTTTTCGGTAACGGCTTCGCCCGCTCGCAGTCACAGCCAATTCCTGGGACTGTGTTCGGAAACCGCTTCGGCTGCTCGCAGTCATAGCAAATTCCAGGGACTGTTTCGGTAACGGCTTCGCCCGCTCGCAGTCATAGCAAATTCCAGGGACTGTTTTCGGTAACGGCTTCGCCCACTCGCAGTCAGAGCAAATTCCAGGGACTGTTGTCGGTAACGGCTTCGCGCGCTCGCAGTCATCGCAAATTCCAGGGACTGTTTTCGGTAACGGCTTCGCCCGCTCGCAGTCATAGCAAAAATTTCCAGGGACTGTTTTCGGTAACGGCTTCGCCCGCTCGCAGTCATAGCAAATGCCCGGGACTGTTTTCGGTAACGGCTTCGCCCGTTCGCAGTCATAGTGAATTCCAGGGACTGTTTTCGGTAACGGCTTCAAATTCCAGGAACTGTTTTCGGTAACGGCTTCGCCCGCTCGCAGTCATATCAAATTCCAAAGCGGATATTTGCAGGATTTTTGCAATCATTAACCCCCCTTACCCCCCTGCAATCTTTTCTAAGGTAGCGGTGATGTGTAGCAGCTCAAGCCCCATGCTGCAACATGGGTATGTATGGTTGTGCGCTGTGCGTCCCCCCCCCCCCCCGGGGGCCCCTCCGGGGCGCAAACATGTATACATGGGTCAGATTCCGTGTTCTTGCGGCCCCCGTCGAAGGAAATACAAAGTCAATTCAACTTTACTTTGGACTTGCTTGGCAGTTCTTGGGCCATGGGGCTAGTGCCCAGTGCCCAACCACGCAGAGACAATCAACGCAAGGTCTCGACGTAAAAAGTCTGGCGGAGTCAGGCAGCCCTCCTTTGAAAGAAAACTCGCAAATTCGAGCTTCCAGCGCCTCGGTTCCAACTAGCATCGGATGCCCGAAGGCAAAGAACGTGGTGCAGCCTCCAATGTTGGACAAGGCCAGAGTGAGTCGCTGCTGGTGGGAGGCGTGAGTCAGCGGGACCTTCCGACCAAATCGACTTTCTTCTCCCGAACATAGGACGTAGCACATCGGACAGCACCAGGTCAACACAGGTCAACCAGACCACCAGAAGGAGCTCCAGCTATGTCGGGAAGCCCTTCCCTACCACTGTTGAGACCGTCGAGGCCGTCGAGGCCATTCGCGACGTTGAGCTTGCAAGATCAAAATCCATAGCGCCGGCAACATCTAACGCATCACCATGTCCATGGAGCCTACTCTGAACCCTAAACCCTAAACTCAGGAGGGCCATGCTGATGGCTCGAGATTGAGCCGAAGCTGAGTCGCGGCCTTCAAGTTTTCCGAAATTTTCCGAAGCCCCTTTCAGCTCGAAGCTAACATTCAACTCCCAAAAGCTCAATGCAACTGCTTGCAAACAGTACTGTACAGCCCCTGCGACACACGCTTCAGGTTCGGACGGCAATCAGGATCCAGAAGAAAAGGAATGTGAACACACCTGCGCGGAGGCGCACGTCGTCAGGATATGTCAGGCTGCATAGGGCACGGGACCTCATTGGGCTGCGACATGCTGCGAACCTGACAGGCCTCCTACCTGAATGTTCCACCCACTTCTCGAGGGGTGATTTTGGTTTGGGCGTCCAAATTCGCACCCCCACGCCTCCTCCCTCCTCCCTCTCCCCATTGGGCCGATTTGATTCCCAGCCCGTGGATGTCGGCTTTTCCCCAAAAATGTTGCCACAACAAATTTCCTGTGCTCGAGCGACGAGTAGAGAGAGTAATGCACTTGTGCCGAGATGGTCCTGCCCATATCACTGGCGAATGGTAAGTGACCAAGGCTCCCAATTATCCGACGCCTCTGAAATCCTGCTGTTGACATGCTCAAGCAATCTCCCGAACTGCATGCACCGCGAAAGCATATTAGCATGGGTCAGAAAAGAACTTGGAACTTCTGGGAGGGTCATCACCGCTTCACCAAGGCCGTGGGCACCTAAACTACAAAGGTGGGAACTCGGGCAGTTTAAGGCCCATCTGAACTACTGACATAACGACATCGTATACCATACTATACTATCGACTAGACTATCTATGCAATGGCTTCGCCATCCAAACAACCCCCTGATACTTCCCAACGCACCGAAGTAGCAACAACAAGATCAACACAACGACTGACAAGAGAACGCGCTGAAAGGATGGCGTCGTCTGCGGCTTCATTTCGCATTTCTCGAAACTGGTGATCCTTTTGGATGCAAAAAATGATAGAGGTGACTCCACTAGGGGCTGGTTCCGCGCGTTTGGGAAACCTCGATGACCTGGGAAACAGCAGCACAATGATTTCAAGTTTAAGCAACATTAGTAACATTAGGCATATTCGATGCAAATACTTGTATGTTGATTTGATGGTGTTCAAATGTCAACCAACAAATGGTATCACCGGTGCATTCCGGGACATAGTTCCTGTGTTTTGGATGCGGGCTTGGCGAGCAGATTTGAGCTGGGCCCTATAGTCTTCGAGTACGTGTTAACTTGAGCAGGTTCTGGATTGACAACTATGTGTCGGGTGGATAGTCACACAAGCTCGAGAGACGGACCCAACAGGCCCTTGCAGCCTTCTTGAGTAGCTCAGCTACAGCCGTTACATCGTACAAGGAAGGCCTTCCCAAATCTCGACCACATTGGGGCTCGTGACCTCTTCATGTCGCAGAGGCAAAGAGGCAAACCCGATAAGCTGCTGCTTTCAGCGGCTCAGCTTCAGGCCAGGAGAATCATGAGCAGCCACAAATATGCCTCGAGCTGCCCGGCTGCCCCGACAAGCCGTGTTCAGGGTGCACAGTTTGCAGATTCCAGAGTTGGGAATCGAATCGAGGTGGTTTGACACACATGGGCTCTAGTAAGCGCGGCAACCAGAGGTGCAACCGCCAGGGAGTGGCTGCGTGCAGGGTACTGACTTGAACGTGGATGAAGGCGACTGCGTGTATAACTAGCATGGAGACCACCGTCAGTTTGTACGAACCAGCTGTGGAACCTGAACATGACATCACAAGCATAACAAGGTCCTGTTCCTGCATGGCCCTACCCTCAGCTTCAAATCTGGCTTCGTGCTCAGAGTGACGCCAGGCTTTGGTATTGAAGTGACGCTTTTCACGAAATTGATGCTTCCCTACGTTCTTGTCAGACCAAGCGTCGAAGATGGAGAAGCATGTGGTGACAACGAAAACGGGAACCTCTTTGATCTTGCGCACCTGCGTGTGCTTCCATGTTCTTTCAAGAAGAGCTTGGATGACATATGTATATGTGGTGTATACTTGTACAGCGACGGTATAATTACATATATCTGTGTATATGTGTGTCGAGAGAGAGAGAGAGAGAGAGAGAGAGAGAGAGCGAGAGGGAGAGAGAGAGAGAGAGAGTACAGAGTACAGAGTACAAAGTACAGAGTAAAGAGTATCCGCCATCCACACCAACGAGCCCATGCTGCGCTGAGACCGTTTCCACTGTGCCATCGCAGATCACTAAGCGTCTTCGGTGTCAGCGTGATCTCTGAACATGATATAGTAATATGGTACTATGGCATTAGAATAAGAATGTAGCTAGATAACAATGTAGCACTATAGACATGTAGAAGTATAGTAAGTAGAGTAATGTAGCAATATACCCAAAAAACCCATCCAACGCACACAAATTGCCAATGCTTGGGATGGCTCAAGGGATGAGCAGAGGAAAAAGGGCGAAGCAATCAAGGGCTTTCGGGTTCAGGGTCGCAGAGGTCGGTCGCCAAAGGGTTCGTGGGTTTAGCGCTCAACTCCTAGGCCCTCTCCGGCAAGGCTGCGGCCTCCCCGGCTGGGATTGCGCAAATGCAAACGGCAATGATGCAAAGAAGGTTGAATGCTGCGCTGCCTGGCTGAGAAACTGCAACTCTGTCTGCGCTACTTACTGCTTGGCTTCGACTGACGCTGGCTCTGGAGACTGTTCGATAGCGAGATGTTGGCTTGACAAACTCGTAGGCGGGAGGTTTAACCAATGTTTGCAACAAAGATTCCCGCCCTAACGGGTTGATCCTGAACTTAACAATTGAAATCTGATTTAGCGAGTCGAATGTCCGGCGGTTGTCTGATTTCTTGCGAAGCCAAATCCCTGTCGAATGCACACATGGTTTGGTTGTAATGCATCATGGCGATCGTATGACTTCGAGACACGGTCAAGCGATACTGAGAGTGTTGCACGCAGTAGAGGCTTACGTTCATTGATCATGGAGACCGCCACAGCATTAAACAGCACCATGTGCAGCGGCCTGGTTAGTGCGCATTATCCCCCCCTCCCCATTCCCGTTGTGCCCGTTTTTTTGTTTTGATTTTTTTTTGCGACAACCCTTCAAGGGAATGTGTCTGCACACCGGTGTGCTGTTTCTGTTCCTGCAAGGCAAACAAACTCCTGAAACCCAAAGGCTCAGCTTGCCAACAGGTTCTATTCCACGCGTCGATGGGACATCTCAACAGCTGAGGTATGGAGAAGAAAAAGAGTAGTCATGGCTCTTTGAGACTTTGAGGGAAAGGAATGCACTTGGTAATGCTTGTACAGGAGAAGGCCAATCTTTGGTCGCCGTCCTGAACTCCCCGACAAAACCTTTGAGACTCCCCCAAATGTTGTGACGCTTGACAGGGCTTAGGGTTTGGGAAAAGTTCTCGAGATTCCAGGCGAGCGGCCCACGATTGTCGAGGGGCCCAGCTCGCCACTATACATGTTGTTGCCAATGAGCTCAATGATGCCTGAGCTTAGTGTTGGTTAGTAGGGAATGGGGATGTTAATGGGTAAAGGTAGGGGATATAGGTCCCTCATTCCCTCATTCCCTGCACACCAACAGTAAGCGAGCGCAAAAGCAGAGCCAGTTCTGAGCATGCTTCCATTTACGGCCATGTGGGAACCCACCAGTCTCAATTCCCTGTGTTGGGTCTTCTGTGTCGTTCTCTCCGGACTCTCGTCATCAACTTGTTCTCAGGTGATTCGGCAGCCCTGCCTCTGCCCTAAGCCTTTGGAATGCGGATTTGAGTGTTCAGCGCAAGCGAATGATATGGTCGCAAGTTGCAGCAGCACACATTGTTCCGGAGGTGTGTGCTTAAAGGTGTGAAAAGATGAGTGCGGAACTCAGCAAAATCTCCGGGGCCGACGAGCCGAGCGCCATGAGCGTCAGATTGGCAACCTTGGGGCTGTGAAGATGCAGATTTTCGGATTCTCGGATTCGGAGGTTGTTCTTATTCCACGTCCCAAGATACTCCAAGCCTGGCTCCCGGGGTCTCGTACCGTTTCATTCTATGGCAATGTTGGTGGAGCAAGAAGGAGGTTAGTAGGAGTTTCAGCCGCTCCAATAAAAGCGCCTCTTCCGGCTTCGTATCTTCAACCCGAAGCCCTAAACCCCTTCATAAACCCCATAAACCCTACAAAGCCTGCAAGGCAAGTAAACCCGGGAAAAAACCAGAAAAGCGCCCTTGCAAAGAGCGACTTGCTGCCTGTTCAGGGCGACTTCCGTCTTGGACTTGACAGGACCTCTGGGGCCACCACTGTTGCATTCCACACCTTCACCCTCACCTCGGAGTGGGTAAATATTCTGTATAGTGTATATTGTGATGATTTGTGATGTACAGGTATGTCTGTACCTTATTTGGCGTTATTGCGCTCGCTGCGGGTCAGAGTCCGTCCCGGTGACAGGGAGAAGCTGATTCAAAGTGATCAAAACAGGCGCCATCACCTGCACTTTATCCGACAAGCTCACGCTGCAGCCTCTCCTCCCCAAAGCCGGATTTACCTTTAAGGTCTTTCGGCTGACATCGACCACCATGAACGGCCGAAGCTTCCGATCACAATTGACTGGGCCTGGCAAGTTTTGCTACTTGTGATGACTGCCATCTGACAGCCCGCACTTGTTCTAAATCCCCAGCCTTGCAAGTAACCCAGAACCTTTTTCCATTCCATGCCACACGCTGTTAGGTCTTGGTCTAGCTGGCGTACGATACATCTACAAGAGACGGCTCCGAGCAAAGCAGCCGCGAGTTGGCAGGCAGCCCTACTTTGTGGGAGGA